CAAAAGAATGGGGGCTCAGCGTAGGGGGTGCCCCCCCCCTCCACCCCCACTCTCTATTAACTTTCCTCGCAGAGCATGGCCCCATTTTTGGCCTGACGCGTCTGTGCGGAACACCGCCTGAACAGAGTCAGGTGATTCAGCTGCTAAGGTATTTCCGTCTTCTATCGATCGCCGTAGGCTGCAGTAACGGCCATAGACGGCTGCCCTGGGCAGCAGAGCACTGATGAAGCCAGACTTCTGCGAATTGCCCCCAGTCATCTAGAAAGATTGAATTAGCGGTGACAGTTATTTAAATAGGTTTATGGCTACTGTCTACTTTTTACGCAGGGACTGTTGTATCAGACGAGGGTTGTCGTACTTAGGTGGCATTTTGCAGTTGCGACATTCTGTGCGCACGTGTGTGCCCCAGAGAGGTCGTACAAGCGGCTGAATGATAGTGATCTGAGGGATGACGTCTAATTTAGATGGCATTAAGGCGGGAGTCACTAGTGTAATCATCGAGGGGTTACGTTGTTGGCCCAACTAAGTGCGACGTATCCAATCCAACAAGCCTTCCAAAGTGGGCCAACTGTTGTGACGAGGTTTCCTGATCTAGATTCTGCCAGGTAAATATCAGATAGGGAAGTGTGTCCGCACCCAGCTGCGAACATTCCTCAAAGCCTTTCTCATTTTACCCTGTACATAATGAAATGCTTTCTTCTTTAGCTTCTGGTATTCCAGATTCTCATTCCGGCCTTGGCTTGAATACCCTAGAAACACTGTCCGGGAATGGCTTTGGTTGCGGCGAGAAACAAAAAAAGGATATTCGAAACTCTTTCATTGTGTGTTTGCCACATATAAGCGACCTTATATCTAAAAACAACTTCGAGGCAAGGGTTTCAACCAAATCTTAGTGTTTGTCATTTTTGGCTTTTGACGTCCAGCATTCGCAACTTTCTTGGGGCACTTATAGTATGGAATCTTATGGCAACTGATATATCGCTTATAATAGAGCAGAATATACGAGTTCCAGCCAGCAGTTCACAAGAAGAAGATGCGATCAATGGAACAAGGACTTTATTTTCCTGACGTTTCGG